AGTTGCAATACTAAATTTCCCCTTCAGAAGCCGATATGAGATGCAACAGGTGTTCACTATGTATGGTCTTTCTATCTTTTTCGTGTGTGGGGCTGCGGAATATCATCAATGATACCGATCATGCAATATGAACTAAGGAAAGGTTACATATAGAAATGTTATACTAATGTTATATAAACAAATTATTTAATTAATGTTAATTAAATAATTATTAATTTTAATTATTACTTTTAAATAATGAAAAAATAATAAATTTTTGTAAAATTTTTAAAATAACTTATATTTTTTGACTAATATTTGATTCTTTTTTAAGAATGTTATTATTTAATATAAATAAGTCATTAATTAGTATAATTAATGGTAATATATACTAAATAATAGTATAAAGACTGTATGACTTGATTTTCAGGAGTTTACATCAGTGATTCCCAAAGTGGTCTATATAGACCCCCAGGGGTCTATGACTACCTGCAAGAGGTCCACATCAGCAAAAAAATAATTTAGGGGTCCATGAGGTCTAAGTGGGGGTCTATGATAGTGGTTCTCATTGAACTAGATTGTGACTTTAATTTTAAAAAAAAGAGTTTAATCAAGTGTGGAAACCAAGTTTTATTTACTAAGTTTAATGAGGTTAGTTTTTACTTACAAGGTGACAGCATAAATTTTTTAAAAACATTTCAGCGTTTCTTTCCAGAGTTAATTAAGCTAAAGAAGTATAATACTAGAGGTCTCGAATTTTGTCACAGACATTCTGCCCGGTTGTTTTAACCTACGTTCAACATTTAGCTGCCTTTTATTCAGATTTTGAAACCAGTTTTTTTAGAAGGCTTTGACTATGGTAATATCACAGTTGGTAATGAATTTATATGGTCTTATTGAAGAAAAAAAAGTCACATGACATTAGGAACTGATTATAATATGCACTAATGAAGATCTTAATTTAGAAATGGATGTCAGCAATTTTGGATTTGTTTTTAATTGCTGTTCCAAGTGAGAAGGAGTTTCAGCGTGGTTGCCAATCTCCAAAACAAAAAAAGAAAAAAACTGGACACTACTAACAGAGGAGGTTTGAGGTTAAACCTGACAAGACTGATAACAAATGTTGAAAATTTATTGATAATTTCTTTGTTGTTTGTTTATTTTATTTAACAGTTATTTTATATATTGATTACCTTTTAATTTAATTAATTAACATGTGCTTTTTAAATTTTAAACACTATACTTCATTAGAAATTTAATTCTTTTAAATTAGCAGTAGTACTAGCTGTCACAAAGACATACTCAAGTTGATAAATTTGCAAAAAATTCAATAGTAATTAAGCAGGGATCTATCCAAAACTGAAAAACGTGGCAAAGGGTCTATGAGACAAAAAAGTTTGGGAACCTCTGGTTTACATTCTTTCAAAAGTTAGCTCCCTAGACAGCCTTGTTCCGTAGCTTTTGGAGGTTTGTGTATTTATTAAGGAACAGAAATCACGATTCTCATAAATGAAAATCATTTACAAGTACCAGAGAGTTAAGAGGTAAAAAGAAAGATAAAAACAAACTTAACATCGGTCTGCTCGACTTAGAAAGGAAGGAAGTATTGAGAAAGGAAATTCACTGTTTAATTCTCCGCAATAAATTTAGAGCTTCCTATTTGCTTTTCTTTCTTAAGTGTGATAGAGAAATTTAGAGCAATCCTGAATTAAATATTAGTGCGAATGTACCTTCTAATGAGCCAAAGCCAAGATCTGAAAAGAACTTCTCAAATCCAAGAAAAGTTCAGTGACTTAGCATCATAAATAACTTTTAATAATCGGCTTTTGGAAGCGTAATTGGAAGGGTAAAGAAATTTTAAAGCGGGAAACTTTTATTTCGGCTTAGGGTAAGACATAAACTGTTTTAACATACAGTGTTTTAGAGTTGTAATGAAAAATGTATTTTATAAAACAACTATACTTTTATAGATTGCAATTGATTGAAAAGTTCAGAAATTTTGCGGATAATTTTTTCATATATACTTACACATAAAATTTGATAAAGGAAGTGTTATTTCCATGTCTCGAAACTGAATTACATAAAATAATTTATCTTATAATTTTGTGTAAAAAAACAGTGTAATAAACAAGGCCTAAATAAAAGTAGTTATTTAAATAGATTTGCTTAAATAGCTGTAATGATTTATAACTAATAATATATGTAATGTGGGAGGTGTTCAAAGTGTTGAACGTCTTAAACATTTTTTATTCAATGTTAAAGAAAGAAAAGGGCTTGAAACTCAAACTGCACTCTCCCCAACTGTTCTAATTTTTCCAGCTTGTTTCCAGTAACGCTGCGTTCAAGATAATTTTGAAACTGAATTGATTTGTCTTTGTGACTGGATAAATTTATTTGATTTTATAGCTTTTTTAATGATTTGATTTTATAAATTCAATGATTTGATTTTGTTACTTTACTGATTAGATTTTGTAACTTCATTGTTTTGTTTTGGAAACTTTTGCTGTATTATCTCTAAAATAAAAAAAAAGGAGAAAAGCAACTATCTCACTCATCACATTACTATTAGACCTACAGACTTAAAATTTGGAAGACATGTTTCTTTTGCTCAGTAGGAGAGATCCGCTAAGAATGGTTTTTGGGGAAATCGACTACCAAGGGAGGAGGGAGTATAGGCAGAAGTCTCCGTTTTCGAATTTTTAGACTACAGACTTGAAGTTTGACAAGCATGTTTCTTTTGTTGAGTAGAGATTCTCTAAGAACTGTTTTTTAGGAAAATCAAAAGGCAAAAGCATAAAGATTGTTTTTGAATATAATCGAAAGCGTAATGCTAAGGACATAGATACGAAGGCTTCAAACTGGAACTGAACCGAAAAAAAAAAGGTTTATTTCGGTTTGATATATTTTCAGTCATTTTGTTAATGTAACTAATTTAACAATGTTTTCTTTTTTCACGTCAGCCATATAATTATCATCATTACATTGCTACTCTCTGTCAATTAAAAAAAGAATAAATTCTTCTAAATTTTGATAGAATTACATATTTTGTTTTTGATAGAATTATATTTTTAGTACAAATAAAGATATGCATAAAATAAAATTATTCATTCGGAACTGAACCGAAAACCGTTATTTTTGGTGGAACGAAAACCGGAAGTGAACCGATGTATTTTTTTTAGTTAAACCGGAACGAAAAAAATTACGGTTCGAAGCCCTGATTGGTACCTTAAAGACAATATATAGGCATACATCATGATGAAATACCGTGTGAAATACCTAGTTTGTCCTAAATTTTCTTTTATTTCTTTTACTTGTTTTACTTAGTCCCTTGTGATACTTGTGGTACACGGAAATTATTTTCTCTTTTTCAGTTAACTATATATAACTAATAAATTAAATAATAATAAATGTAAACAAATCACAAATTAAAGTGAACAATTCTACGTTAAATTAACAATTTTCATTGATATTGAAATAAATCAAAATATTCTCGCATACCATAACTGAATTGTAGCTAGTTCTCTGCAAATTAATAATACTAATAAATAATTTCTAAACACCTCTCAAAAGTTGTTAAATAAAACCAAATAAATTTTTTTGAGGTTGATTAATCCAAAGCAGAAATGTTATCAAAATTAATTAATGACTTAAACATAAAGAAGGATTTTAAAACATCTATTGTACATGCAATTCTTTAATTTAATCAAGAATATTATCTGTGCGACATGCTTGTCAAATTCAAATGCAAACTTGAGCTAAATAAATATGGTTCTCAGTTTATTGTGAAAGGGATTAGTATATATGAGAACACATCAAAACAGTGCAAACAAATTAACGATTTATAGAATTGATAACTAATGAGATTCTCTTATTATTTTATTACTATTTAACATTGTTAAAATTATAATCCAAGCATTATTTATTATAATATTTTATATTCCTTATATATCGGAGGGTCTGAGAGAAATATTCATTGTAGACGTCTTACTAGATATCCGCATGTTTGATGCGCCATTTAAAATGCTTGCAAATCATCAGTGAAAAGATGACGTCATAAAAATTTCTGCCCTTGTAATTCTGTAACTGAATTAACCGTAGAAACTAAAAAAACAAATGTAGATCTGTCTATGCTGGTGTATCATATATCCAAACGATTTATTTATTATTTTTTTCCCATCATTCATTACCATTTTAGTTTGATTACTTTTTTTTAATGTCAGTTAGGGAAAAGTTTGCGCAAAAAATTTTTTGTCAGACAGGACGCATGTTTGTAATAATTACAAATAAAACTGTAATAATAAACAACATTACACATTTTGTAAAAAAAAAAGTGTTTTTAAAAAATTTAAAAAATTCGAAAAGCATCCAATTATACGTTTTTTGCATCTAATTTTAAACTTATATGCTTAAAAAAAACGACCCAGTGAAATAATTCTGCTTTTATGCAAAAAACTGAAGGGAAAAAATTATATTTCTCATTAACCAATATTAAAATGTACGAATGAAGAAAATAAGTCACGTTTTATGATTGAAAGAAACATTTTTGTTGATTTGACCGTTACTTTTCATTTCAGTTCTTTTTCTTTAACATTTTTTGAATGATTCGTCAGTTCATTGATTAAATCGGAATATATTTCTTTATCCTTAATATATAATTAAAATTTTCTTTTTTTTATGTTTGGAAAATTATCCAAAAGCTGGAAAGAACTTTTTATATCATTTATATTTCCCAGTTTTTTTGTGCTGAAAGTCCTGTGAATGTTTTTGAATTCCTACTATTAGTCCACATTCTCCCTATATATGTTTATATATATCTTGTTCAAAATTTCAATCGTTAATAAAATACTTTTTATTCATCCACTCAAGTTCAAATACGTTTTTTAAACTTGCAGTGGATGGCACTTTATGTTAATACAGTTTTTTCAAATATTAATTCATTAATTAGATCGAAATAATTAAATAAGTAGTAACAAACAAAAATACTAGTTCAACACCATATATAAAAAGGAAAGTCGCTCGATGTGTCTGTAGCACAATTGATAGCGCGTTGGACTTCTAATCCAAAGGGCGTGGGTTAGAATCCTACCTGAGACGGCCTAATTTCTGAGAATGTGATATAGATAGAAACAAAAAAATTGATAGTCTATCACCATATATAGAATAAAGTCGTTTTTTTTCTATTTTGCCCCTTAATACTGTGATTCTGTCATATGCATATACAATTTTATATTAATAAAACGTATAAATATATTATATTAATAAAAAGTAATTAAAATTAAATGTTTCTTTTTTGACCTAAGTAGGAATTGACTTTTTTTTTTATATATATATTACTTGTGTTTTTACGTTAAGTTTCTTAGATTTTTTAATTCTCTCTTAAATTCTGAAGAATAGCAGCTAGAGTTCTGATCTTTGTCCCGATCCTTTGAACAAATATAGGCTACCAAAACTATTTGAATGATTTTTAGACAAATTCTGATTACTAAAATTTTTGATTGATTTGTAAAACAATTAAAAAAGTTAATTTGCATGTAGTCCCTGTGGTACAAAACACACTAAAAAAAAATTAATTTTGAAAAATAGAATAAAAATTTCTATTACCTGCATAACAAGATTTCAACATCAGTCTGTTTCATTTTTATTACTTAGTTAAAAGAAAAATATCTGCAGGATGATCATACATAAAACAAATTTTCACAAAATGTCAATGATCTTTGAGATAGGTCTAAGAATTGTCTATCACGATTTGCTCCTTTTTATTCTGTATTGCATTACTGCAATAAAAGGCGAAGTACAATTCTAGAATAAAAATAAATTTGATATTTTAATTGAAAACAAGTTTCAGTAAGGAAAATATTTTTAACAACCCAAATTTTAGGCTTTTAGAATTAATTAATTCACCACATATTGAAAACCAATTTAATTGTTTTATTTAGTTAAACACTTATCTCTCCCCATATATATGTATAAATCCTAATCGAAAAAAAATCATAAATAAATACCCTGAAAATCAAATTGCAAATTCAGGATTATAATGAGGTTCATTCATGTGACGTCATAGTCACATGATAGTGAAAGCCATGTTTTTCTAGCCAATCAATTCAAAAATTCATGTGACGTCATAGTCACACGATAAAAACTATCTTGTGTTTCCAACTAATCAGTTCACGCGCTCCGGTGTTGCCAAGTTTTGCTCTTTGCAGAAACTTTCTCTTAAAAAGTGCATATGTATACAAAATGCATTTTATTTAAAAGTATAAGCATAAAATACGACTTTTTTTTTAATTTAAAAAAAATCTTTTTGAAGAAATTTTTTTCCCTAACATTTAAACATCTTTACCCAAATATGAAATTTGAAATTTTATCTGAGTTTTACAAATAGAAAAAGTGCAGTTAGTTTAATGTTTGTTTTGAATTCAATGGAAAACACGTGTTTGTTTTTATCATGTGACTTCATGAATCAAGCCCATTGAATAGTAGGGTTAAAATAGTTTTATTAAGGTTGGGGTTCGACCCCGGCCCAAGTCGATGGATTATCATAATGCAGAAAATCGACAGCAGCCATGTCGTATGATTACACGGCATGTAAAAGATCCCTTGAGTGTCTGTTTGGCTTGGGTGCTCTCGGCAAAATGAAATCTTAGTACAAAATTGCATCGGAAGAGTTCAGATACCTTCCTCTAGGGAGGAAACTGGGTGTCAAAATTACCTGCGGCGATTGGTATCCTCCTTTACGGTTCCGCACTTTAAAGTGATACCAGCTTCCGGGGAATATACTAGGTCTGTAATGGTCAAAAACCAATCCGCAGCTCATTAGAAATAAAAAAAATAGTTTTATTACGGAATAAATTCTCTCCATTACTTTGCTGAGTAAATACGTGGATTTCTCCATTCAATGAAGAAAATATATTTATAAACAAGAAAAAGCTATACCTACTCTAGTGTAAGATATAGTGAAAAAGAAACGTATCGAAAGTAAAATTTATATACCAACAAACTAAAATTAAAGTTTGGCACTAAATTGAAGAAGAAGCCAAGAGTCCAAATGGGAAATAAAAAGCAATGTCACTGAAATAAAAATAGTCATTTCACTTAGAATCTGTGAAAGAATTCTATTCTATTAAAAATGTTTTGTTAAAAAAGCAAAAATTAAAGAAGAGAGCACAATTATTCATAATAATTTTAAAAAAAGAAACGAGTCTTACAGTAGTCGCATATGATGTGTAACATCTGGCATGTTATCGTGGTAAATACGCAATATTAACTTTTTTTCCTGAAAAAAATATGAATCGGGTATGATTGGAAATAATTTTCTATCGAATCATTATATCTTTAATGAAAATTGTATTTAATTAACAACAGGAGTAATGCAATATTTTATCAAAAATAATTATTCTTGTTCAATTTGGGGAAGAGCGGAGACAATAGACTTATGGTAACTAAAATATGCCACATATACTTTTGATTTCAAAGTATTTAAAAAACATTGAAAAACTGCTTCAATAACAGTAGCACTGTTAGCAGTCGAAACATTCTAATTTGCGTTCATTTCGAGCTTGAGTTCATCATTCATAAAAGCTATGAGCGGCTCAGTTTTTGGCAAACTTAAGTTGAAGTTAAAATCACCACTCAAAATTAGGGGAAGCGAGTGATAATTTTTTTGAAAGAGCAGAACCACCTTCGTTATATGATAAAAGTACAAAACGCAGGAAATCTTTAATTTTTTTTTAACCGTTTGATTTGAAAAAATGTATATGACCACCGAAATCATTTTTTGTCCATTTTCAAATAAGCATTCTGCCGCACTTATGTCCCCCAATATCGTGACTAACGGATTTAGAGTCAAGCGCTCGAGTGCTTGATGGCTACTAGAGTTGAACCCCCATGCGAGGGTAGCGAAAAGACACATCCACGCACTCTCATTGGTCAAATCAAGTAGCGCGCTTACGCCATATCCTGTTACACACATCCGTCCCTTTTCACGAAATTACTCCCACAAAAACCAGCAACCGAGAGGAAATATGTTACACCAATAATTGTAACTGTTTTCACATATATAATAAAGTATACAGAACTTATATTTATATACTTAGTCACTTCTTGTGAGCAGTGTTAGCATTCCTTTATGTTTAAGGAAATATTATACTCAATGACTCAGAAGACAGTCAGAGAAAAACTTTTCTCATTCCTTTTGTCGAAATTCTGCTTTTTGCTACGAGGGTTTCCCATTGTGGTGCAAAAAAGCAGAAGAAAACGTTTTTCATTATTTTTCTTCCTTCAGCGTGAGAGGGCAGCTGTGAACAAGTGCTTTTATTTTTAACAGTGTATTGTGTGTGTGTAAGTAAGTTTTTTTGTTTGTTTGTTGTTTATATTGTCTACGTATGTAAATGAATGTAATCCAAGGCAATTAAAAAAATTTCAGTTATATATAACAATTCCAAAAGACCATCATTAAAATCGAAATTTATATCCCTTCAAGTTTTTGGATAGAATTAAAAATCGAGAGTATAGCTGGTATTGGTGGGCATTTTAGTTTAAATGTGTCAACTATTCCATCGAGTTAACAATCAGTAAAATGAAACAAGTAATATAAAAAAATAGTTTTCAAGTCAATTCTTACTTAGATCGATCAACAACGAAAATTTTTATTTTAGCTACTTTTTATTAAATAGTTACAATTAATATAAATATGTATATACATAGGACAGAATCACAACATTAAGTGGTAATTAGTTTTTTTAATTATCTCATTAAAGTATCGTATTGTCCTTTTAATTTCAGTCCAACTGAATGCTTTAACACGTGAGAAAAGAAAAAAAAACCTTTTCAAGTTTTGACACAAGTCGCCAAAATGGTCACCAACGTGGCTGTATTTGTAATTCTTTAAATAATTAGTTTTAATCAATTAATTTTTATTAATTATAATTAAATTATATTGTATTGTCATCCAAAATGATCCTGCAAATAAAATTTCAGCTCAATTCAGCGCTTTAAAATGTATTTTATTAACGATTGAAAATTCCACCAAGATAAATAAATATAAATATACAAATATATAAATAAATAAATATATAGACAGTGCGAGCTAATAGTAGGAATTGAAAAAAGAGAGAAGATTAGGAATTCGGTCACATCTGGATCATCGCTATTCTTGCAAAAATTGTTGTTCTTCCGAGAACTATATAATAGAAAAAAAAATGGAACAAGTGACAATGTAGGTAAAAGATCTGAACTGTTGCCACTTAGTTCATGACAGACTCTAATAAATGACGAAAAGGAACAAAAATTCGTTAGATTAATATTACATTTCATTTTGGTTTTCAATTTAAATTACTAAACTTGAAATCACAATCTTTTCAGTTTTTATGTGATCTCGGAATATATTTAAGTTTATTATGGAATTTTTGAATGTTCAAAAATAGTTAAATATCAAAAAAAATTATTAAAATGTTATGGTAGTTTTTCTCTTTTTAGAACCGAATCCCCGGTTTTTGTTTTAAGTTAGTGTCTCCTATGTTGTGATTTCCTTTAAATCCAGTATTTTTATGGAACATTTCTGCCATTTTGTGGGAGGTTCTCTGGTATTCAGTTTTCCTCAACAGTTTTAGAATTGTCGAGGAAACTGTTTTTTGATGGATTTAAGTAATTTAAATCTTATTTTAGAATGTAATGCTTCCCCCCTCCCCGTTTTAGCTTGTTGTTTTTGGCACATTGTTTAATAAATCGCTCCGAACAATGAATCAGACCTTCGTGTATGAGTCGTATAAATCGGGATGATACATCATTTTGGAGTACTTTAACAGCTTTCCTTGCTCGTAACTATCTTTCAACAATTTTTTGTTTATCAGTTACTGGGTTCATTAATACCCACGGGATATTAAAGTAAAATAAAGCTGTTTTTTTTTTTTTTTATTCTTTGTGGTTGTATGTCTTTTGTTTATCAAAGTGGTTGACATAGATATATGTTCAGTGCGTGTAACCTAGTACTTTAACGTTCTCGTTTAGTGGAAACACTTTCAATTATCTTCTCTTTCATTGGACAAATATGTTGATTTTACTTTTATTGTTTTGTGTTTTTTTATAAGCTAGTTTTT